ATGCGCCGCCTGCTCCGCTGCTGCCTCTGTGAATGTGCTGCTGATCAGCGGGGGAGGGGAGTCGAGCTCAGAGGGAAGGTTCGAGGAAGCCTCGTCGAGATGCGACGCCGGCACCGCGCCTGCCAGCCGAGAAAGCTCTTCGGCAGTTAAGGAGCACGAAGCTTCGAGGACGTCGCATAGATGAAAGGTGACGTCAGCCAGCACAATGCTTTGCTGGCGGATAACCTGCGCGTGCCATCGAAAGCCACGTAGCCGCGCCATGAACGCCTCCCGTGACCTCGCTCCATCATCGTGCCTTCGATCGTCGCTCCCGGCGCGTTCTTCGTCGCGATCAGAGGTCGCATCGCAGTCGCGATCGACGGCTGTGAATGACTGGCGACCGAGATCGACCAGGGAGGGTGGTTGGACGGACGCGACAAGAAAACCGGCAACGGCGGTTTGGATGTCTGACGCGAGCTGCCGAGCCGCGTCCCATTGCTGCTCTAGCCGTTGCGCTAAATCGCACGCCTGGACGTCTCCAGGCGACATGCTGACCAAACGCGGAAATATCGCGTTGGCTCAAACGCTCGATCCAGCAACTCTGAAAGCCTAGCGCTCGGACGGTAGGGTCTCGTTAATTAGAAAACGCACGATGTTGACCTGGACTACAAGAGGTGCTGCGGGGGGAGCCATGGACGAACGAATCGAGAGCGTGCCGTGGATGCGGCATTGCTGCTGCTGCTGCTGCTTTTTGTGGTGATTCGGCAATCCCAAGACGGGTTTGGTTTGGGTCCGACTGAAGCACGCCACGTGACAGCAATTGGGGTTGCGGCTGAAAGCACGACACTGACGGTTTCCGTCATCCGTCAGGCATTTGTCAGCCACGACTTTTGCGCGCGAAAGCGCTACGCTTTTGCGCGAATGCAAAAAATCGCCCCCAGCGATGTAACGCACATCGGTAAAGATGAGTCAACGTATTCCTGATCTCGCAAAAGTTACAAACCCAAGCAACCCCGTCAACACCAAATCTAGAAACACTCCAATTCCTTCGTGCATATCTTCTCAACTTCGTTGGTTCAGTGGTCCTTGAATCTGCCACCATGGATTTGCTCCAAGATCCTCGAGTCTGGGTAGCCGTAGCGATCGTCGTAGTTTTTGGTCTTCTGCAGATACTCCTATCTAGTAAGTCTGGATCGACGGTGAAGGCGGCAGATCAAGAGCAGAAGGAGACAAAGAAGCAATCGCAGAACCAGAAGCAAGCGCCTCGCCGGAGACCGCTTTCTGAAAAGGTCGTAGCGCTGCTCGTCTCCTCCCCTGTGCTGATCCGTTCTAGTCCTAGTTAGGAGCTAGTCGATTCTTTCGTACCCAACGATTGTCAAAGCTACACTTATAGCATCATCAGTTTTGATTCCCCTTCTAATCCTCAGCCGACTCCTGTATTCACTCTCCTGCGCCTCGCCTTCTCCGTTCCCATCCTCCGTGAATCTGCGAGCAGGCTCCAGCGGGTCCGCGGCACCCGTTGGAGGTGAACACGCTGAAGCACGGCGACGCCGTCACGGGCCTCTGCTTCTCGCACGATGGCTCCGCGCTCGCCACAGGTGCGCTCTTCCTGCTCGCCACAGGTGCGCTCTTCCTGCTCGCCACAGGTGCGCTCTTCCTGCTCGCATGCACCTGGAAATATTTGACTCTCTCTCCTGCACGCACGCTAACGGATGAACAACGGAGACATAACGACAGCCTTGAGATGGACGTTTGCAGCTGACCTGCCGTTGGCTGTTTTCTTTTCTCACCACTTGTCCTTGTTACGTACTCATCACACGCTCGCGCGTCCATGCTGCATCATACTTGGCTGCTACGCGTGCATGATTCTAGCCCATTTACTCTGCTTCATGAGTATGCATGCTTGCATGTGCGTGTGCCTGCGTGCGTGCATGCGTGCGTGTGTGTGTGTGTGTCTGCGTCTGTGCGTGCGTGTGTGCAGCGTGTGGCGATGGAGTGGTGCGAGTGTACACCATCGACGACGTGACTGCCAAGAGCATCAAGTACGTTCCTTGTATATCACCCCATGCCCCCCATCCACCCCATGCCCCCCATCCACCCCATGCCCCCCATCCACCCCATGCACCCGCCGCCCACATTGCCTCCACTCGCTTCCATCGTCCATCACACTTCTTACCTGAACACACGACCACCACCCTCTCCTGCCTCAATCCTCCACCCCTCCCCCACAACTCCCCCACCTATCCGGCCACCTGCCCTCCGCTCCCCCCGCCTCCCCCTGCGCCAGGTTCCGGCGCATAAACACGGGGCCGGGGGTGCATCCGGTGGGGGTGGCGTTCGGCATGTCGGCAATGGAGGTGGCCGTGTCGGGCACCAGCCCCTACGGCAGCTGCATGCGCTTCTACGGCCCCGCCACAGGTGCGCTGCCCCGCCACAGGTGCGTCCGCCGCCCCGCCACAGGTGCGCTGCCCTGCCACAGGTCAGCGCACCTTCTCTTCTGATTCATCATTCCACAACACCCCAGTCAGCACAGTTGTCACTGTTGAGCCGCCTCAAATCCTTCCCCCACCTCCCCCTCCCCTGTCCCCTGTGGCGCGAGCAGGGAGGGCGTTGGAGGAGGCGCGCAAGGAGGGCAAGCAGGCGCCGGTGGAGGTGAAGTGGGAGCACCGCCCCGCACACGGCAACAAGGCCATCATCGCCATCACCTCCGCCATCTCCACCCAGGGGTCCGGTGATGGCACTGCTGTCATCGCCACATCATCAGAAGGTACGCCACACTGCATTCTGCAGAGCTCGTATTGCTGCTCACTGCCACCCCGGTCTCTGCCTGTTTCTTCACTTGCGTGCCCGCCTTCCCACTCAGTTCTCCTCCCTTCTCCTCTCGTTCCGCTCGTTCTTCTCCCCTGCTTCCGCCGCCCCCCCGTGCCAGCAACGGACGTGGTGGTGTGGGGGGCAGCAGACGGCAAGGTGGTGGGGGAGGTGGACTCCAACCAGCTGCGCAACACCATGGCCGCCCTCTCGCCTGATGGAAGGTTCCTCGCAATCGCGGCCTTTACGGCAGACGTGAAGGCGAGTGCATGCCACTGCTGTTGTTTGCTCTTAGGGATGCGGAATGGTTGTCGCTGTTGGAATGCCATGCTTCATCGCCCTGTCTTGTGTGCCTCCTGCGGTGCTCAAGGGCTCGTTACGTGCATGTTGCCATGGTGTGTTTCAGATATGGGAGCTTGTGTATGGACGGGATGGAGCCATTCAGAGCGTGACACGTGTCATGCAGCTCAAGGGCCACAAGGTAAGATTTAATTCGCACCATCATGTTCAGGTTATAGGGCATGCATATATACGGGCGAGTGATACCACCATCCTTTTTTTTTTATATATCAACTCGCTTCATTGTTGCCCACTCGGCCACTTTAGCTGAGCCAAGCCAACCTGAACTGGCTTTTCCTACCAACACTCCGCTTACATGCCCACTGCACCTTATGAGTGATCACCGTATGACTTCCTGCTCTGCCTGCCGTGGGTGCATGTGCATGTGTGGTGCAGAGTGCGGTGACATGGCTGGCGTTCACATGGGACAGCAATGGCATGGTCACGGCATCCAAGGATGGCACCATCAAGATATGGAACATTGACGGTATGCCCTCGCCCCTCATCCCCACTCCTCCATCCCTTCCTCCCCCTCGCCCTTTTACTGCTCACACTTCTACTCCTCCACTTGCTCGTCTCCACAACCCCCTCTATCCCCCCCCCCCCTCCTCCCTGTGCCCCTGTTGATTCTCTCCTCCCTCTCTCTCTCCCCCTTCCCCAACCCCCCCAGTGCGCTACCACCTGGACGAGGACCCCAAGTGCCGCCGCACCTTCCCCATCCTGCCACTGCCCTCCACCACCACGCCAGAGGCCATAGCAGCAGCTGATGCAGCAGCAGCTGCTTCAACAGGCAAGAAGGGCAAAAAGCCCGCAGGCCCCGTGCTGCCGCTGCTGGACAGAATAGCTGTCAGTCCAGATGGCCGCCTGCTGGCTGCGGCAGTGGGGGCGGCGCTGCTGTGGTATGAGCTGGAGGGGGGCAGTATTGTCACGGCGGACGAGCAGGCTCACACTGGTGAGTTGGTTTGTATGTTTTGCATGGATGGGCTTACCTGGGTGTGAGGTGAGGTTGCTCCTCTCACCACCCTCACTCTTTTGGTTGTGTTCCTGTGCTTTGGTGTATGCAGATGTGATCACGTGGATGTCATGGTCGCCCAAGCCAGTTCCCATTGGTGAGAATTGTTTTGTTTCCTCCTCTTTTTTTTTTTATATGGTCTTGATGTTGTGGCTGTTCACAACATTATTTTTTCCTCCTTTTGGTGTGCTTTTTGCAGCTGGAGGATCGAAGCCAGTGCACATACTTGCCACAGCGAGTGCAGACAAGAAGCTGAAGCTCTGGAAGGCACCAGAGCTATGACAAATTCCCCCCTCTAGTTCCTCATTGCCTAATGAATACGTTTTGCTTTCATAGTATCAGCATCCATTTTTGTGGAACTTTCCGACTCGTTACTCCATGGAACTCTTATAACGAGGCAGCCGTTTCGTACGAACCAGTCACCCAATGGCGGACGAATTTCCAAGCCCAGGGCCGCAGGCCAGTTCGGCCGCACCCGCCAACAGCGACCTTGGGACTGTCGACTGGAAACGGGCGACCACTGTAGCGCCGAGCCCAACTCCTCGGGTTCAACCCAAGCGCAGAGCAGAGCCAGCAGCAACCATCCATCCATCATCCCAAGACCAGATTCCCAACATTTCCCACGCCGAGCACCACATCACACGGAAGAATCCCACAGCTCTGGTCCTGGTTATTGGCGCCTGGCCTCACTCCGACTCCAGCGACGTTCGGCCTTCATCGTCGCGTGTGCTCCACACGCATTGCATTTGCCTCTTACTCTCGTCGCGCGATCTCTCCCACGCATGGACGTCTGACCTTCCTCATAGGATACTCAAGGACCACGCAAATCATTAATTTATTTCGGAGCAGCTAGTCCGGCGCGATGTGGAGTCCCGAGGCGGATTTGGTCGCGTCGCCGCCGGAGCCTGATGAGTGGGTGGACTCGCCGGGGGCGGGCAGCGAGGTGTCGCGCAGCCATTGGATGCCGGAGGAGGCGTTCAAGCGCTGCACCAATCCCGCATGCGGAAAGGAGTTCACGCAGCGCCGCCGCAAGTAAGAGCCTCCGCGTTGGCGTGCGGCGCGGTGGAGCACTCGCAGTCATGGCAGACCTCGCTCTGACCCGTTCCGCTCCTTTATCCCCTTGTGATTTCGAGCAGCCGTCGCTCCTTCTCTTTGACGCTTGGCGCTCCGTGCTTACTGCTTGCTGCGTTGCGTGCGGCTTACTCTTGCTGCATGCTGCGTGCTGCGTGCTGTTTGTTGCATGGTGCGTGGTGATCGTTCTCGGCGCGCAGGCACCACTGTCGGTGCTGCGGCAACGTGTACTGCAGCAAGTGCACCGGCTACGTGCTGCCGCTCAACCCGCTCAGCGCCATGGTGAGACGTTGACACGTGGCACGCGGGTATGAGGACTGCACTTGGAGTATTTTCGCTGGTTATGTTCACCCATGCTGTGATCGTCTGTTGTCACCCGTCCAGGCTCTCTTAACTTGACCCCGTTAAATTCACTTGACTGCAGATCGAGGCGGGAGGGGTGAAGGCCAAGGTCTGTGAGCTGTGCTACGAGGTAAGCTGCTGACGTGGACAAGGCATGACTGCCGTTGACTGGGACTGACTTTCTGAAACAACCACAAAGTATCACAGCCTCTCTCTTAGTCATGTTCAACCGCCAATCCCGCTCTCTATTTCTGGGACCCCATTTAAAGAATCTCAGATTCTCAGATATGTGCAGTGCATCCCTTCATCCTTCTTCCCCACGCCTGTCCGCGTGTGCATGCACAGCGTGCAGTGGACGAGGGGTATGCGGAGAGCACCGGCAGCGAGGGCGACGGTGAAGCACACGGCAGTGTGGTCAGCGCACAGGGGTATGACGAAGCCGAGTCCCCTGCTGCCGCACCTGCTGACAGCCTCACACACGCGTCAGCTGCTAAGTCAGGCCCCTCAGACTTGGCTGCGGAGCAAGCATCCTCCCCCAACTCCATCCTCTCCTCCTCCCCTTCCTCCTCCACTGCCACCCCTGCTGCCGCCACCGCCAACAGCAGCGACGGCAGCAGCAGCACCTCAGCGCCACCCCCCTCCTCCTTCGACTCAGCCATCCCGCGCCCCTCCAGCGCCGGCCCCTCCACTCTCTCCGACCGCCTCTCCCACGCGCGCCCGCCTTCCTCCCTAGAGGAGGACATATTCGGCTCCCGCCCTCGCCTGCGCGCCGCTGTGCTGCAGGACCACCGCCCGCACTCCAGTGGAGGGCGTGTTGCTTCCTCCGCCTTCCCCCGCTTCAACTCCATTTCCGGTGCTGCCAGCACACATGGCAGCGGCACCGGGGGTGCTGGTGGGAATGGGAGCATCAGTATCGGTGGGGTTGGCATGGGGGGCAGTGGGGCAGTGGCGGCAGCGGGGAGCTGTTTCTCCGCAGCGTCACTCTCTCTGCATCGCACGAGCGGGCGACAAGGGCAGCTGGGAGTGGGCTGAGCGTGGAAGGGGGTGCTGAAAACAGTGCCATAAGCGCCAGCAGTACTACCAGCAGTTATTCCGCCTTTGCTGGTGCTGCCAGGAGCAGCAGCAGCAGCGCCGTGACCACCAGCACTGGTGACAGCAGCAGGGGGGCAGGCGACCGGGTGCGAGTGCTGCAGCGGTATCGCCACCTGTCTGTGTCATTGGATGAGGAGAGGGGCGCGCGCAAGGGCAGGGGCGCTGCAGCAGGCGCGTGGGCAGCCGCGGATAGAGCAGCCGCCGCAGGCCCACAGCATTTGGACCTGGCGGGGAGTGGGGGGAGTGGGGGGAGCGTGGGGGGAACGGGAGGGGGGATGGGCAGTCGAGTGCCACTAGGGCTGCCTCCCAGGGCGGATGCGAGGCAGAAGCAGCAGCAGCAGCAACAGCAGCAGGGGGAGGGCAGCAGGGGTGGCAGCGGGGGGAGCATGCGGGGGGGAACAGCGGGGCCGGGGAACAAGATAGGGCTGTCTCTCGACCTGCTGGCTAAGATGAACTTCCCCTCTCAGCCCTCCCCTTCTCACCCGTCCCCCTCCTACCCCTCCTCCGCACAACCTTCCCCCTCTCTCTCATCCGAACCTTCCTGGAAACGACCTTCTCCACTTCATTCCCCCGCCTCCGCGATTATGTCCCCCCAGCCCTTCTCCCCCTCCCCCTGGGCGCAGCCTGGGCGCGCCAGGGGGGCCAGGGAGAGCGCGGATGTGCTGGTGATTGCGGACAGGGGGGCGGAATTGGAGGCGGAGGGGGAAGGGGATTGGGACTCTGAGGGTTTGGGAATGTTGGGAGGGGGAAGACAAGCCATGGGGGAGAGAGGGGCCGGGGAGCAGTTACGGGGAGGGCAGGTTGGTGGGGTGAGTGTGGAGGAGCAAGAACGGGAGGCGAGAGAGCGGGAGGAGCGGGAGAGGGAGGCTCGGGAGAGGGTGGAGGGGGAGCAGAGGCGGAGGGAGGAGCTATACGAGGAGCTGGGGGCGGGGCTGCTGCTGGAGTCCCCCTCGGCGCATGTGAAGGGCGCTGTGAAGAGCGTGCAGCTGCACGACCTGCTGGCCGCCTGGGAGAAGGGCGAGAGGTGAGGCGCTCCTCTCCTCACACACTCCCTGCTGCTTGCTTCCTGCTCTGCCCATTTCTTCCTCTGCCATCTCGGCTTCTCATCTCCTTGCTCTCATCCTTTGACTTGTCTTGCCCAATTGCCTCCCCATCCTCCCACTTCCATTGTCGACTCCCCACTACCCATTCCCCCATACATACCCCACACCCTGCAGTGTTCTCGACTCCACCACCAGCACTGTCTCGCCCCTGCCTGCCGTCTCACCCCTGCCCACCACGGCCTCTCCGCTCACGCTGCTCGCCTCCATCTCGCACCGCATGGGCCTCGCTGCTCCACCCGCCCCACCCGCCCCTGCCTTGGAGCAACTCGGCGAGGCCAGGGGCGAGAAGGGGCACAAGGAGGCAGGGGAGGCAGCAGCAGGGGGGGTGGGCAAAGGGCCATCAGCGGAGGCAATTCAGCGGCTGCTGTGGACTGACGGCGAGCCCACTGCCGTCCCTGCTAGTGCTGTCTCTGCTGCCGCCCCTGATACTGCTGCCGAACCTGCTGCCACTGCCGACCCTGCTGCTGCCGGTGCTGCAGCGGCTACATCGCCAGGGGACGCATCTCCCACCGGCAGGGGCGAGGCGCTGGACGAGGTGAAGCGCAGCCTCGCCGCCTCCATGGGCGCTGCTGGGGGGGGGGAGAGGCCCGCACTGCTGCCTCGGGCGGTGCAAGTGGCGCGCCTCAGGAGTCCAACCCCCCCGACGCCAAGGCACCTGGGACGGTAGCGCCCGGTGCAAGTGGCGGGGCAGCGGCTGAGTCGTCTGCGTTGGCTGTGCGGGCAGCGCCAGCGTCGCTGCTGCAGTGGTCGTCCAGCGACGTGCTGCACTGGCTGCGCTCCTCCGTGCCCTTCCGCTCCGCCCCCGCTGCACGTACGTTGCCCCTCCTACCACCCTGCTCCCTCCACTGTCCTCCTTCAACCTCTTCTGCCGTCTTTTGTCCTCCTCTGCCCTCCTCTGCCCTGCTCTGCCTTCATCCCGCTTGCACTTCGTTCCTTATCCGCTTCGTGATGCCCACCTGCCCACTTGTCCCACCCCCCCTCTCCCACTCGCCCACCTGCCCCTTGCCCATTGCCCATCGCCCATAACCCCACGCCCATGTCCCATGTCAGACTATGCCGCCGATTTCGAGAAAGCGGGGGTGGAGGGGATCACACTGGTGGGCATGACACGTGGCCACCCTGCATTGGCCAACATGCGCCCCGCTGACCTGGTGGCGTTCGAGGTGAGCACAGCACACATGCCACGTATGCATGTGTGTGCTTCCCACATTCTGTGCAGCAGGTTCACTTTGCCCACTGCAGTGACCTGCCTCAACATAACCCGCCCTGTGCTTCCCCTTGTGCCTCCCCATGTGCCTTACTCTGTGCCTCCTCCTGTGCCTCACCCTGCGCCTCCCCTCTGCCTTTCCCCGGCCCTGCCCTTTCGCATCCCCTCCACGTGCACCTTCCCCACGCCTCCCGTTTCCCTGCCACCCTCGCCTGCCATCCCTCCGCCCATCGCTCCGCGTGGCTGCCCGGGTGGGTGGGGGGAAGATGGCGAGTCAGGTGGAGCGCCGGCGAGTGGTGGCGGTACACGCAGCAGGGCAGCCCGCATCAGAGCTCGGCCCTCGGCCTGCCACAGCAGTGGGAGTCACAGGGATGGACTCGCAGCAGCTCAGGCCTGGACAGGCGGGGCAGGCGGGGCAGCAGCAGCATGCGAAGCTGGTGCCACCGCGGCAGTTCCGTGCTCTGCATCTGGACGGATTCTCCTCTGCCAGCTCACGGTGCGTGGTGTGGCGGCACCGCGCTGCACACCAGTGCTCGAGTGCTCACATGTCGAAGTTGCTACACTATGACCACTGCCCTCTCACAGTCACCACAGTCACATCATGTGCGCTACAGCACTCACGTAACCCACACGATCTTTGCACTGCTTCCTTCCTGACCTCTCCAATGCACACTACTCAGCCCATTTCTCTTTCCCCTGACCTTTTCCCCTCCCCCCCGTCACACACCCCTCACTCACTCCCCCCAGGGCCACCACCCCAGCAGACACACCTCACTCCACAGACTCCCGCATTCTCAACCCCGTCCCTGCCCGCCCTGCCACTGCTGCTGCTGGCAGCGGCGGTGCAGGGGGGCAGAAGAAGGGGGCAGTGAGCAGTGCCGGGGGCAGCGGGTGGCTGTTTGGGTGGAGCAGTGGCGCTGCCAAGGACAGCCCCGCCAGTGCGGAGGTGGGCAGGGGGGCACACACTGGAAGGCAATGGGTGATAGAATTGGAACTTAACTGATTGATTGATAAGGAAGGCACGAGGCCTTAAGTACAAACACGGTTGGGTTGAGCAAAGCTAGGGAAAGGATGGGATGGGAATCCTAGGAAATCTTCAATTGGTGAGTTGGCAGATTTGCAGGATTACGAGGGAATCCCAACCAGATAGGGTTGGGATTACAAATCTACACCCAACCTACAAAGTAACCTAACCGATATAGAATATAGTACAAAGTGTTGACTGACTATTTCTAACACACCCCCTAGGCTGACAACACTTCAGCCACATGGCGGTCCAACACCCATGGACGAGAGGAGGCGGTAGTGGTCTTGACGAACAAGAGACTTGGTAAACAAGTCAGCAAGGTTGCAGTCGGAGGCAATGTGTTCTGCCTTCAGCTGCTCGCGCTGCACCAGCTCACGAAGAAAGTAGTGACGGACTTCAATGTGCTTGGTGCGGCCGTGGAAGACGGGGTCCTTGGTGAGATGAATGGTGCTCTCGTTGTCACACCAAAGCGTTGGGGCTGGTTGAGGATACCCAAGTTCTGCCAGCAAGAAGGAGAGTCAACGGGCCTCCTGGGCAGCCATGGTCCCTGCATACAGCTCTGCCTCACAGGTCGACAGTGAGACGGAAGACGACCGAGTGGAGCGCCAACTGACAACCCCACTACCAAGGGTAAAGCAATACCCTTGGGAAGAGCGCCGATCACTCTGGTCATCAGCATAGGACGAGTCACTGTACCCCTCAAGGCGAACAGGGGAAGAGCCGCCAAGAGTGAGCACATAGTCCTGTGTGCCTTTGAGATAGCGGAGGACCCGCTTGGCGGCAGACCAGTGGTGGCTCGTGAAGCGACCAGGTGCAACGTAGCGAGACAGGACACTGACTGGATAGGCCAAGTCTGGTCGAGTGCACATCATCGCGTACATGAGGGAACCAACGAGCTCGGGGTAAGCCTCATCGCAGGGCTCAGGTGAGGGAACAGAGGGTGCAGTGAGTTGGTGCTGCAGAGAGAGTGGGGTGGGCATTGAAGCTGCTTCCTGCATCTTGAAGCTTGTCAGAACGTTGTTGATGTAGAACTTCTGCGAGAGGGTGATGGTGCGGGTCGTGCGATCACGTGTGATTTCCATGCCCAGATAGTTCGTCAGCTTCCCAAGATCCTTCATGGCCAGCTTCTCACCAAGTGCGGCTTTGACTGCTGCCAGCTCAGTCTGATCCTTGGTGACAAGGATCATGTCATCGACATAAACCAAGATGAAGAAGCGGGATGGTGTTGCTCGAATGAAGAGGCTGGGGTCAGAGGTGGATGGGTGAAAGTCGAGGGACCCTAAGGTGCTCTTGAGCTTGTTGTGCCATTCCCGGGGTGCTTGCTTGAGGCCATATACTGGTCGATTCAGCTTCCATACAGTGCCTGGCGGAAAAGGAGCTGGAAATCCTTCGGGCCGCTCCATGTAGATTTCCTCTCGAAGGATCCCTTGCAGAAACGCAGAAGACACATCCATGCAGTCAATCTCCATGTCATCTCGAGCGGCCACATCGAGAAGGGTGCGCAGTGTGGGAGGTTTGGCAGTGGGAGAGAATGTCTCAAAGAAGTCCAGTCCACGCTTTTGGGTAAATCCCTTGGCACAGTACCGGGCTTTGAAGACAGGAAATTCGCCTGGAAGTTGTTTCACCCGGAAAACCCATTTTCCCTTCACAATGTTGACGCCGGAGGGAGGAATGATATCTGTGAAAGTCCCTGTGTGAATGAAGGCCTCACACTCTGCGATAATGGCCCCTATCCACTGAGCGGAGTTAGGACCAGAAACTGCTTCAGCATAGGTGAGAGGTGTGGGGATGGAGGGGTTGTCGGAGAAGTTGAGGGTGGGAGATTCTGCGATATCTGGAAAGAGAGAGCAGAGCGCGTGTATGGCTGAGTCAATGTCAATCAACTCCTCATGTCTGTCCTCAAGGGAGGGCATGAGCGAATAATCACCCCCGACAGGAGGAGGATTGAGAGAGACACGAATGGAAAGGGAAAGAGGCTTGGGAGCTTTGTGCGAGCGGGTGCGACCAGCGATGGGGGAGGGAGGCGGAGCTGGAGGAGGAGAAGCAGGAGGTGTAGTGGCAGCATCAGGAGCATGGCGTATCCCCAAAGAGAGGGAGGGGTGGAAGCATGAGTGAGGAGGCAGCGAGCAATCTGCACCAGGATGCGGTTTCGGCTTTCAGCAACACCGTTCTGTTGAGGGCTGTCTGGGAGAGTGAAGGTCTGTTGGATACCCTTAGTAGAGCAGAAAGCTTTGAGAGTGTTGTTGCGGAATTCACCGCCACCGTCAGAGTGAAGAAACTTGATTTTGGTTTTGAAGTGTGAATGAGCCTGCCTGGCCCATTCCATGATGATGGCTGGGGCTTCAGACTTGGCGGTGAGAAGGTGAATGGACACATAGCGGGAATAGTCATCAACGATGACAAGGAAGTAGAAGTGTCCGCCACGGGAACGAACAGGTGCTGGACCCCAAAGGTCCATGTGTACGCGATCGAGAGGTGCGGTAGAGATGGACTCAGTGGGAGGATGGGGCTGTTCCCGAAGCTTGCTCTGTGCACAGTCAAGGCAAGGCGGTCCAGAAAGAGAGGGGGGTTGTGGAAGTGAGGCGGGCAGTCCATGAAGGAGTTGCTTGGTGGCAAGGTCGGAAAGTGCGCGGAAGTTGATGTGGCCGAGGCGGTTATGAAATAGCATAGTTTTGTCAGTGAGGAGGCGGCAGTGACATGAGGGGGAGTCTGAGGATGGAAGCGGAAGGTTGGTGAGGGAGCATGTTTGAACGGGAGGTACAACTAGTGTGTACAGGTTGTTGGAGTTGAGGGTGAAGCGGGCAAGATGGAGTCCGGTTTTGGCGTCAAACATGTCACAGTAGTCAACATCATTGGGAAAGATGGTGATCACGCCTGCGTGTTGGATTTCCCGCTGTGCAAGAAGGTTGTAGCGGAGGGTTGGGGCACAGATGCCAGTGACGGTGCCAGATGGGAATGCTGGACAGGAAACTGTGGAGGAGCCATGGCATTGGATGGAGAAGCTAGAATCTGCTCCAAGGAGTGAGGTGGGAGCCTGATAGGGAACGAATGCGGTTTGGTCTTTAAGCACTGTGTGGGTGGCACCACTGTCTAGTATGAACTCGATTCCCTGTGTGGTTGAAACACCGATGTACTGCGACCCCTTCTCATTAATAAGACCAGCACCAGAGAACAACAGGTTAAGGCGAACATCAGATGGGGCGCTAGCAAATGCCTGAGCAGGTTCCTCCACTGCCTCGACCTGGTTCACGCGACGGGGTGGTGCCCAGTTGGGAGGGCGCTTGTCCTTGGAGACACCATGGACGTCATACCACTCGTCATCTCGCTTCTTGAAGCAAGTGGCCTCAGGGTGGTTGGTGCCGTTGCATTTCCGCCCCGCACGTGGACCCTTCCTAATGAGGTACTGGCATGGGGGAAAGGAGTTGCGCCTCTGGCCCTGCTGGGAACGGAATGGAATGCCAGGGGAGTAGCGCACAGCATTGACTGATGCCTGAGCTGCAAGGTCCTTTTCCGCAGAGAGAAGGGCCGAAGCGACTTTCTCGAAGGTGAGTTCCTTGGTGGGGAGCTGCTTGAGCATGGAACTGGTGACGTTGTAGGCCGGGGTGAGTCCGACGAGAAGCCCAGCAGCAGGTGCCTGTTCGGGGAAGGTGATCCCAATGTCCTTGAGCTCCTCATGGATGTTGCGGATTTCAGAGATGTAATCTGCCATGCCCGGGCATTCCTCAAGGCGGATTTGGAACATGCGAGGAATGAGGATTGCAACTCCCACGGCAGTTTTGTCATGAAAACGATCCTGGAGGTACTTCCAAATGTCATGCGCAGATCGGAAGGTGCGGTAGGACTTGACTAACTCAACTGGGGTGGTGGTGATGAAAACCCTAATCACTGCCGCATCCGCCTGCTCCCAGAGACTGAAGTCCGTCTCATACTTGGTGGTCTTAGCATCGAAAGCGCTCTTGGCTGTGGGAGTGGCGCCTTCACCGAGAGGATCGGGAGGGAGAGGCATCTTCCCCTTGCCGCGGTTGAGGAGGATGTCCTTGAGGCAAACCCCCTTGAGCTCCGAGCTAAGGAGGTGCTTCTCCACTCCATAGCACCACTCCCCGAAATTGGTGCTCGTGCCGTTGGGAGCGAGGTTAAGGATGATGAGGTTTCCGACGAGAGTGGAAGTAGAAGTTGCCATTTCGCGCGGAGCGCAGCGCTAAAGTCTCCGATACGTAGCGCAGCGCGGCGATTTTGGAAATTGAGGAAGGCCGAAACGCGATTTCGGCAATAGAATGCCCGTAAAATACCCTGTTATACTGCTTCGCCGATGCCCCCTGTTCTGCTTCGCTGCTGCGCCGCTGACTTGTTCTGCTGCGCCACTGACCTGTTCTGCTGCGCCGCTGACCTGTTCTGCTGCGCCGCTGACCTGTTCTGCTGCGCCGCTGACCTGTTCTGCTGCGCCGCTGAACCTGTTCCGCTGCGCCGCTGAACCTGTTCCGCTGCGCCGCTGAACCTGTTCCGCTGCGCCGCTGAACCTGTTCCGCTGCGCCGCTGAACCTGTTCCGCTGCGCCGCTGAACCTGTTCTGCTGCGCCGCTGAACCTGTTCCGCTGCGCCGCTGAAAACCTGTTCCGCTGCGCCACTGGACCTGTTCTGCTGCGCCGCTGAAAAACTGTTCGAAGTTAAGAAGATGCGAAAATTTCGACGGAGATTTGAAAAACCAGAGGCTTACGATGAAGGAAGTCGAAAGCTGAAAATGTCGCCGTTGAAAAACGAGAAGCGCGATGAAGGAAGCCGAATGCGCGCTTGACCGGAGCGACGATGTGAAGTTTCTGAAATACGCTAAGCGTAGGAGCCGGGAGCCGAAATAGGCATAGCCTAGAAGGAGAGAACCATCGGGACGCCAAGGATCGGATTCCGCGTGAGCGAAATTTACTAGCTCGATACCATGATAGAATTGGAACTTAACTGATTGATTGATAAGGAAGGCACGAGGCCTTAAGTACAAACACGGTTGGGTTGAGCAAAGCTAGGGAAAGGATGGGATGGGAATCCTAGGAAATCTCCAATTGGTGAGTTGGCAGATTTGCAGGATTACGAGGGAATCCCAACCAGATAGGGTTGGGATTACAAATCTACACCCAACCTACAAAGTAACCTAACCGATATAGAATATAGTACAAAGTGTTGACTGACTATTTCTAACAATGGGGTCTCTGGGAAGAAGGGGAGCGGGGGAAATGTTGGGGGAGGGAGGCGGGGGAAGTTGGGAGAGGAGGAGGGGAATGTCGGTAGCAGAGCCGATTCAATCTCTCCACTATGATATCCTGCCCACATTTGTTGTGCTCGTGTGCTCTGGTATCCTGCTGCCTATGCCCTGACCGTCTGCTACCTGTGCTCTGTGGTGCCGTGGTGGTGTGGCAGGCGGTGGAGGTACGGGATGAGGTGGCAGCAGCAGAGGAGAGGGAACAGACAGCCAAAGCCAAGTGAGTGCTGCGTGTGTGCTTGGTGTGCATGTGCCTGCCGTGTCTGAGCATGTCTCTGTATGTGCTCCGCTGATCCTCTTTCCTCCTCCTCGTTCATCTGCTGCGTCAGCAGTGCCATTACCCGTTTGCCATGCCTTATTCAACTCTGCTCCACATGTTTCAATCCAAATTCTCCCTCTCATCCCGTCTGCACCCCTGCATCGCACGGCACATGCCAGGCTGTCACATCTGGATGCCATGCTCAAGCGAGCGCTGCTTGTGGAGTATCTGCACACACGCCAGGTATGCATACGGTTGACACCTCCCGTGGCGGCTGCCTTGTGAATGCAAGCAGGTGAGTCTGTGACCTTCAACAGGTGAACATGCAACTGGCTATGCAATGTTCCTGACGGCCATGGCTGCTACAATGTGATTATAACGTTGTGATCGTATGAGGCACGCCTACCGCTGGGTTGTTGCATGTGAGTGGAATGCAGCCACCCTTGTGCGTGACCCCAACATTCCCACCGGCCCCAACTGTCAATGTTTGAGGTCCCTCAAAACTGCAACCAACTATGCACCTTTCCCCATCATCCCCCTCCCCACTCCCCCTCCCCTGGCAGCGGTGGGCGCCCATGGGGGGCGAGGGCCCTTTGCCAGTGGACGACCCCGAGGCAGAGGATGAGTGGCTGCCACGCTTCGTTACGCTCTCTGCCAACGAGGTCTCCTGCTACCGCCAGGCCTCAGGTGCTCCTCACATTCACCACTCTATGTGCTGAAAAGCACCTTAAGTGTGTCTTTGACGCGCCTCAAAACATGTCACCAACGAGGTCTCCTGCTACCGCCAGGCCTCAGGTGCGCCGCGCTGTCACCTCTCCATGTGCTGACACACGCCAGGTGTGTCTACATGGGATTCCCCATGCTTTTGCCCAACACCGCCTCTGAAACTTGATCTCCTCCTCCTCCCTTTCTCTCTCTTTCACTCTATTCCTCCCTTTCTTGCCCTTTCCGCTCTCCTCCCTCCCCACCCCCCTTCCTCATTCTCCCTTGCCCCCTCACCCCAGACCTGGACCCCGAGGTGAGCATTCCCCTTGACAGCGTGGCGGCAGCAGGGACACTGGAGGCGGGGGGGGAGGCGGGGGAGGAGGCGGAGGACTGGCTGGTGTTCCACCTCACCACGGGGTACGGGCTGCGCCTCGAGTGCGCCACTCGCAGCCGTGTCAAGGTGAGATCCCACCCTCCCGTTCTCCCACGGCCTGGGGAATTGTGCTGCTCTGGTTGGGACGGGAAGGGGGGAACTGTGAGGAGAGTGTGCAGTAAGGGGGGTGGGGAAGGGGTGAGATATTTGCAACAAGATACAGTACACAGTGCAGTTGACATGGTGCTTATTCTGACGCATGTTGATTTTCGTGCATGGGCAATTGTTTGTCCCTTATGATGAACAAGCAGCTGCAGCTGTGGCTTGCAACCATTCATGAGGCGGTGGAGAATGTTGCGATGAGGAAGCAAAGAGGAAGGCCGAGATCCGCAGCTAGTGGAGGTCGCTGACGCACAGGCGACCCAATGTTTGGGCTTTGTTTATGTGCTATACATTTAGGCATTGTGTTGTAATAGTATTTATTGTACGGTGATGTATGTATTATTGTTGCTGCAATCCCACGCAACTTGTAATATCCTGGTCAATTGAAATGTTGGTTTGCGAAAGCTTTCGAGAAACATCCTGCAATTTCGTGCGGGCTGCGTTGGAATGTTCTTCGCAATAGCTTTCGCGCACTTTTCCAGCGAGGTACCACAGGTCCGCAGCACTCTTCCCCTCCATAAACGCAGCTGGCGTGGCGTGTGACGAGCGACATACAGCTTCACAGCTCGGTTTTCAGTCGGGGCTGAAATCTGCTGCATAAAAGCCTGATGTGCCACTCCACACGGCAATTCCTGCACTATTTTTTTCAGCTTCCTTATTCGCGTTGGTAATAGCAAGCCCTTCGTTCTAGTCCATCCATCTGTTACCTTGTCTCCAGCGCTCCTGCTTCCATTATTTTCTACCGTCAGTCAGTCCACTGCAATTCTCGGACTAGATGCCACTAGAGAGCTCTGCTGGAGGGACCGAGGCGTTTCCGAGCCTCGGTCGCCATTGTTCGCTGTCGTCGTGTCAGCTGCTCGACTTCCTCCCGTTCAAATGCGATGCGTGCCATCAGGTCGGGAGCTACCAGGGGCAAAGAGCCATCCACGTCCTCCTGAAACGCGCCAATTACGCTTTATGCCTCTAGTTTGAATTGCTCGAACTGCTCTTCGACGTAGCCGTTCCGCACGCTTTCTTACGCGATCTCCTTCCGCCCATCTCCCTGCTGCCGTTCCGCCCATCCCCCCCGACCCCGCAGCCCTTTTGTCTGGACCACCGATCGTACGGCGCGCACGAGTGTCCCGACGTCCACGTTAAGGACGTCACTGTCGCCGTCTGCCCCAAATGCTCCTCTAGCTTCCGGACGTCGCGATTCGAGGACGCCGAGAGAGCCCTCGCGCGCCACGTGGGCGGCAGCGATTGCCAGGCGGCATCGGCGGGGCGGAGGACCAAGTGTCCGGTGCGGGGCTGCCGGCAACGACTGACCACGTCGAATCGCGTCAAGTGCAGGTAGGTACTTGATCTTTCCCTCTTGAGATTTTGGACTCTGCGATCTCTTTGTAACGGTCGCCATGATGCCCCCATCTGTGCCAGTGCATAGTCTTCAGCAATTACTCCCATCTTTGCTCTCCCGCCGCCACCACCCCATCAGGTCGTGCGCGGAGGACCACTGCTTGCAGCACCGCCTTGCCTCTGACCATCACTGCGCGCACCTCGCTGCCTCCTCCGCTGCGAGGCCCGCACGCGCGGTGGGTACGGGGGCGGGGCAGCGGTTTTTGGATGCGCTAGCAAAGCGCACTGGCGGAGAGTGCGCGCAAAGCAGCTCTTCTGGTTCATCCTCTGATAGCGCGAATGCGGGAGTCAGCGTCCCTCCAAGCGTGAAGGCCCATTGACATTTGTTTTCATTTGTTTACAGCAGCCTGGAGGAACCTTTAGTGTGTACCAATATAATACCCACCTTATTAGAGCCTATTTAAATATTTATTGCTGTCTCATACCTACTTTGACTAATCAATCACGTGTCTTGCTGGTAATGACGTGATGTCTCTAATTTGGTCCACTTCGCAATGCAAAGCGTGCTTCGTTCCACGAACCACAGCATACATTGCACTAGGTGCAATGTAGTCACAAGTGCGCTCCAGTTGAAATGGCTCCCCTGGAATCTGTTCAGATTAGGTATGCAATGCAACAACGTCAGAGCACGTCCAGACAAGGATAGTAAAGGCATGTCTAAAACAGCTGGGGCAACACAGTTATGAATGGCGTATAAACACAGCAAGCACCGCACCTGATAGCCAGAGTGTATTTGCACACCAGTGATGACGGCATAGTCTGCTGTCTCGGGATTCACAGTGCGCTTCACCAGCTTCTCAATGTCCTCGGTGATTGCTGCCAGTGCTGCCTTGGTTACTCGCACCAGCGATGGACCATCCGATCCAGAGGAGTGCACCTGGGTGGGCAGACAGGCCACGGAGGAAGCAGGGACAATTGGTTAGGTGTGGAGCGGAATTGTAGCCTCAAGGGTCACACATTGTTTCAACCGATACCAGCCCAAAATGCTTTGCACTGTGGCCCAAACAAGACCCATCCCTATTGGCCCTCACATACCCGAGCAGCGATCTTCTTTTTCAGCAGCACATACTCCTTGTCATCAGCGTCATCTTGCACCAGGCCTCCCTTTGAAATGTCGTTCTTGATGGCGATCAACGCCCCGCATGCACTGGACGGCTTGCCCCGGCCTCTTCTGAGCAGCGACCCCACCTGGCCTGACTCGCCCACCGACACGTGTGGAAAGCCAAAGAAGACGTCTGGCAGGAGAGCAAGGGAAACGAACAGAGGAAGGTCAAGCAGAGTTTCCAGACGGTCAAGAAGACAGTGAAGGCAGGGTACATGCATGCTAGACATCTGGAGGGAGCGAGTGCAAGTGGTGCGCCATGGATGCATGCATGTGACTCACATCTCTCGCGCACTTGGTCATCATTGACTTCGCAGGGGAACTCTGGCGAGTGCGACATGGCGGCCTTGAACCCCGTGGTGCCGCAGTTGACGAGCCCTCCCAGCCCCGCGATGTTGAACGAAAGCCCAAACTCGCAGTCTATCAGCTTCACTATCGGCCGGCAAACTTCGTCTCGACACGTGTTCACGAGCGCTATGCAGTTGTCCCTGGCGTGAGTGAGGTGCGTGAGGGGGGTGCATTGCACAGCAAACAAAGTCAGTACACTGGGCCAGTCGCACACATAGCTTAGGGCAAATGCTGGATAAAGCTCGTGAATCCGGTGGTTTGTACCTCTTAAAGCCAAGATTGGCGAGTTCCAGGGCGAGCGCGTGGATGAAGGTGTCCTCCTGCATGGCGTTTGGGAAGGTCACCGCCATTGTCGCCAGCGCTGCTGGTGCCGCCTGACGATGGAGCAGATGAGAAGCACAACCGGATGCGAACGACGTGGGTTGAATGCGATGTCATATGCATTGTGGTGCCCTGAATAGCGTGTGAGTATAACGAAACTTCGCAGTTATGAGACATCTCAACGCACGCAATGATTTTGCATGTGTTTAATGGCTTCTAAGTGAACCCACCTGCTTGGTGTACGCAAAGAAGGATCCATTCTCGGAAGTGGGAGTGACGGATGGAGCGCTTTCAGGGGACGACGGCGACGGCGAGGGTGGTGGCGATGGAAGCAGACTGGCGATGGGATAAAATGCGATAGAGAGGAGAGACGACAGTGCGTGGAGCAAGCTCGTGTTCAGAGAGAGGAGGGAAAACGTGACTCCGCCAGCTATAGTCGCCACGACGATGCTGGGAACGATGAGGTGGATGCCGGAAAGGGAAGGGGGAGAGACAGGTGCTGGCGGTGTCACAGATATCCGCGCGAACAGGGGCTCCTTGTTCCACGTGTCACCAGATTGTCTTTCATCTAACGAATTGTTGTTTCTGTGGGAGGAATTAATCCAGCTGTTTCTAGACTGCGTCCCGCCATTGCGGGCCTGACAGAAGCTGCGGCTTCGTAATTTCGCAGGAACCGTCCCCGAAACGGAGACGTGTGTCGGAATCTGTCTCGGCGTGAGCGTAGCTGGTCGGGTGTGGAGTGACTGGCGGTGAGTGGCAGCTCGTAGCATTGCACCCCGACGTAATGCATATAGCAGCTAGGAACTGTGATTTGCGAACACAGCAAGTAGAATCAGTCACTCATCTGCCACCAAGTCATCCTAACCGGGCCATGATTTCATTTTCAGCAACATTTGAAATTTGAAATAACTGTGGTTGGGGGTGTGATGTGAAGCGAGAAGCAGCCTTGATTTGGCGAGTGTTGCAGGTCGAAGCAAAATGTCCCGTCAGACAGCTGACTCCTCCTGGACTTCCAGCTGCTCGCCTACGTGGTGGGGGGTACCACAGGGTACTCTCCGAAAGGCTTCGTGCAAGCGAAACTCGGAGAAGTGTGTGAGCGAAACTTCACGACGAGCAATAGTTCGCCTGCAGAGGCACGAAACTGTGTAGCCTGTAACTTTTTTGCCATCGCCCGTTCTGTGCAAGCATCTTCTTCCCCCCACCCCTGATGGCCAATCTCCCATGCAGACCAGCTGGGCCAGCCGTTCTGATCAGCCTTTTGGTCTTATCGTCATTGGGCTTCCCCTCACGCAATTGGCTGCTGTACCTGGTTGTGCCATCCACCACACGCCGTAGCTGACGCTCTTCGCTCGGCCAAGTTCTCTTATTTCTGTGAGTTTCTGTTGATTACTTTAGGTTCCTCTCGATCTCATATTGTTCATCAGTTTTTTTTATCGAGATTGGTTTTCGCAATTGTCAGGGTAGTCGCAACCTTTTCTAGGGCTGCATTTTTTCCATCTCCTTGATATAGCATTTTGGTGCGTCTAATAATAGTGGTAGCCAGCCTTCCTTCTGAGTTCTCCGGCATTCGTTTTGCGGATTGCTCGCAGGCTCTCTAGTCCAGGTTCAGTAACTTTAAACCATGGAGACTTCTCTACGGCTTAACGCTGAAGACAGGAGCCTGGTGATGCACGCAAAGGAGAATTTTGTGAGTGACGGCAACATCGCGCTTCAGGTCCATGCGAAGCTGAACACGCAGACAGGCAAGCCTAGCTGCTTGATTCAGCTCAAGAAGAAATTCTTCCCGGAAGTTCTGACAAGCATTGACGTTGGTGCTAAAGTGGACGTTGAGTCGCGAGAAGTGACTTACAGCATTCAAGGAAAGAAGACCTGGGAGCTAACAGATAATGGCCTTCTGTGTCTCGATCTCAAGGGCGCGTACAATTACCAGCCTCACACCCAGTCCGGGAAGCCGAAGGCTTCAGTGGAGCTTAGCCAGAAGGTGTTTAATTTCACAGAGGATCAAGATCTGAAGGTCAAGCTGGGGTACAACGTCGTTGCGAGAAAGCCTTACTTGCAGCTGCGTGAGAACAATTGGACCTTGAA